AAAGGTTGGCAGTTTGAATCCTATGGGGCCGTTCTAATTTGTCCTATAGGGTCACTATGAGTTGGAATTGACTCCACTGAAATGGGTTGGTCTGTTGGTTGGCGCTGGACACACCCCTTTACCGCTCCCCGCTTTGTTTCAGAGGCCCACGGCTGGAAACTGAGCTGTCCCCTCACGTGGCCGCCACAGACTGTGGAAATCAACAAGGCTGTTGTCTGGGGTGTTGTTGGGCTGGGCTGGGCGGATCCTGTCTGGCCCTGTATCACCCTGGGACCCCAAACAAAAGTCAGAGGCTGAGCTTCCAGGGAACAAGCCGACCACTGTGCCAGGGGCCGCTGGGTGGTGACCAGTGCTGTCCACGAGAGCTTGGTGTGACTGCCCTTGGACAAGAAGCCCTTTGTGAGCGCCAGCACCCAGGACTGTTGCTAACCATGTGTGCCCCGAAACACTGATGTGCAGAGGACATGAGCTATGCACGTGAGCCTCTCAGCCCGGGCCCCGTGATGGTTTACCAGGTGCCAGTTGCCATCGAAGGGACCCCACCTCACGGCGCCCTCATGTGTGTCAGACTAGAACTGTGCTCCATAGGATTTTCCGTGGCTGATTTTTTGGAAGGAGATCGCCAGGCCTTTCTTCCTAGGCACCTCCGGGTGGACTCGAATGGTGAACCCTTCCCTTAGCAGTGAGCCTGTTAACTGCTTGCAGACCCCAGGGACTCCCAGCACACAGTAGGTTCTCAATGAATGGTGCTTGTCGCCTGGATCACAGTGTTGGGGTTGGCTGCTCACCCATAAAGGTCCCTCCTTCACGGACCACCTGCCCAGGATGCCTAGCCAGGCCACGTGGGCGGTGCCAGGCTCTGCCCCAGGTGCTTTACTCCAGCTCCTCGAGGTAGCTGTAGAATCCAGGGAAACCAAGGCACAGCCAGACCGAGGTCCTGCGGCTGTGCAGTTGCCCTGTGTCTTAGTCATCTAGTGCTGCTCTAACAGAAATACCACGAGTGGAAGGCTTTACAGAGAGAAATTTATTCTCTCACAGTCCAGTAGGCTACAAGTCCAAATTCAGGGCATCAGCTCCAGGGGAACGCTTTCTCCTTCGGCTCTGGAGGAAGGTCTGTGTCATCAGTCTTCCTTTGGTCTGGGAGCTTCTGTGCGCAGGAACCTCAGGTCCAAAGGACGCGCTCTGCTCCCGGCACTGCTTTCTTGGTGGTACGAGGTTCCCCTGTGTCTCTGCTCACTTCTCTCTTTTATATCTCAAAAGAGATTGCATTAAGACACTAACCTTGTCAACCTCATCAGTATAACCTCATCACAGTGATAGAATTTATAACCCATGAGGAGATCACATATAATCTCATCATAGTGGGAGAGTTTACAACACATAAGGACATCACATCAGATAACACAATCGTACAATACTGGGAATCATGACCTAGCCAAGTTGCTACACACATTTTTTGGGGGACACAATTCAGTCCATGACACCCTGCCTCCTTGATGCTTGCTCTTGACTTTCCAAGTTGGACCAGTTTATCCCTTGCATTATCAGAAGCAATCGCCAGGCCTTTATTCCGAGGCGCCAACCTTGTGGTTAGTAGTCGGGTACTTAACCCTTTGTGCCACCCAGGGACCCTATCTAAAAGAGTGTGCTTCTCCAGCTGCACATTTTTGTAATGATAACGGATGACAAGAAGCGTGAGAAAGCTTAGAGCCCCGTCCTGTCCCGTGGCCCCACCCCTGCCCTCCACACCCTCACCCCCACGCTGCACTTCATGTGGTGGTAGAAAGTCCAGCTTAGGATAAACAGCAGCCGGGAGCAGGGAGACAGTGCGTCCAGTCTTTGTCCAGCTACCCAGAAGCCCTGTGATGGGAATAATGACCCCCATTCTGTCATTTTGTTGTCGGGCAGCTGTTGAGGGAGAAAAGCCGGACTCCTTGCTCAGGGCAGCGGGCAGCCAGGATGGAAACCTTCGGGGCCCTCAGCTTCTTGGCCCTTACCCCATACCCAGGGGAGAAAAGCTTGAAAAGGTGCTGCCGTCCAGGGCGGCCTGGAGGCCCACTGGCTCCCCCTCTGCAGCCTGGTTCCACCCGGCGCTTTAAGAATTAAACACCAAAGGCAGCGGGGCGGGTGGCCAGGGCTGCGGTTTCTACTCATTCAGCCATGGGTGCCGCCTCCCCCTCATTAATGCAGGAAGTGCCTCAGTCCGGGACGTGAGGGGGTCCCTGGTGATGCAAACGGTTAACGTACTTGGCTGCTAACTGAAAAGTTGGAGGTTTGAGTTCACCCAGAGGTGCCTTGGAGGAAAGGCCTGGTGATCTACTTCTGAAAAATCAGCCATTGAAAACCCGGTGGAGCACAGTTTGACTCTGACACACGTGGGGTCACCATGAGTTGGAATAGACTCGATGACAGCTGGCTTGGTGTTTTTCAGGGCGTAATAGCCGGTGCAGGCAGGGAATCCCGCTGGGGGCTAGGGTGAGGTGAGGAGAAGTCCCGGGGTGGGGGACAAGGAGGGGAAGACCCCCAAGGAAGGATCTGGCAGCCCCCAGCCTCCCCTCCTGTTCCTTAGCAAGACTGTAATATAAATTTCTGAAATCATCGCGCATGAGAAGGACCCAGAGGTTGGGAGATTTTGACCCCATGTGAGCAGAAGCCTATCTGTCTGGGGGTGGCCGAGGGGCCCACTGGGGCTTGGACGGAGCCTACCTGCATGGTGCAGCTGCTCGGTATGAAGTGCATGGAGCGGGCGGGCAGCTCACACCCACTCCCAGTACCAAGGCCACGGAGTGAGAAGGAGCACACCTGTGCCCTTAGCGGGGAGGGGCCCCTGCTGGCTGAAGCCTCCCAGCCGTGGGAGCCCCTGACGGGCCCCTGCCTGCCGTCTCTGTGCGTTCTCAGTGACCCACCTGGCTTCTCCGAGTCCCCTGGGTGGTGTCAGTTGTGATGGTCCCCACCTCTGATCTTCTGGGGTTCGCTGACACTTTGGGGGCAGGGAGGGGATCGTCGGAGGGCTCACCCCACAATAGGAGGGGGCAAGTAGGCCCCTGGAACCACCGACTCCAAACGCACACGAGGTCCCCGCGTTCCACAGAGAAGTGGCCTTGCTGGGACTGTTTGGGGGGAAGCCCGGGGAGGGTGGCTAGAAGAGGACAGAAGGCACAAGTCGGACTGATGTGGGGGTCAGCCCCTGGGGCTGGGGCTGCCGGGGTAAGGCAGGTGAGCTCCAGGTCTGTGGGGAGAATGCCAGCGAGGGAGCGGGGCAGGGCAGAAGGCCCTTGATGGGTGGTCCACTCGTTTACCCCCTCCCCCTCTTCAAGGACAGCTGCCTCCCCGTCTCCCCAGGATCTCTGCAGAGAGGGGGCCAAGCTCCATCAGCCACGTGTCCCAATACTAGCACCTCTGCCCTGCTCTTTCTCCTTGGGCTCATGGTCTGAGCAGGCAGCCCACCTGGGGCTGGGCCCCAGCTGGACACCAGGCACCTGAGATGGGCCTCTTCGTGGGGGCTGGTGGAGGCAGGGGGCAGCCAGGAGCCCTCCAGCCCTGGTGCTGGCTGGGACTGTCTCCTGGGAGGGCCCCCAGCTACCACCTGGGAGCAGGGCAGGACGGGGTACAGGGAGGCCAGCCCCCACGGGGGGTCCAGGTCCAGGGTCTCTCAGAGCAGAAGGGGCATTCCAGAGGAGGGAACATTTCAGAGCGGGGAGCAATGGGGGAGGTCTCTAGGTGGACCAGATGTACGTTCCTCACAGCAGGACCTGAGCAGCCACTCGGGGCTAGGTGAGCAGAAGGGACAGCAAATCAGGTTCTGGGGAGGGAGGGGCCGGGGAGGGGTGGAAAGGGTATTGGCATAAACCCACTGGGGCTAGATGAGCTGACCATCCCTCCTGCTGGCTGAGGAGTGGATGGGCCCCACCAGGAGGGGGAGCAATGCCAGGGGAGTGGACGGCCCCAGAGGGAGATGAAGCGTGCCAAGGGGTGGACAGACCCTGCTGAGGGGGAGCACACCCGCTGGAGGCCAAGAACAGGCTGCCGGGGGTTAGGCGGTGGAGGAGCTGCATGCACAGGCTGGCCACCTGAGACTCCAGGTGCCCAGGGACACCCTCCCTGTGGGACACAGAGAGACCACAGACAGGACAGGGCCCCGCCTGCTGCGAGATATAAAATGTTTATTAATACACATTTGATTGTCTTTTATAAAACTTCCTTTGGCTGCACCGGGCCGCTGCGCTTGGAGGAGGGTTCCACAGTGCCCGTCGCAAGGGGCGGCCAGGGCTGAGCCCCTGCCCACTCTCCAGTGGGGCCTGGAGCCCAGAGGCTCGGCCGAGGAGCTGCCTGGAAGGTCTGAGGGGCACATGGACCAGGTGGACGCCACCTCGGACACATTGCATCCTTGGAGGCTGACCCAGGGGCCACCCAGCTTAGAGTCAGAGTCAGAAGCAGGAGTCACCTCCCCAGCGGGGCTGGCAACCCCCGACTAACAGATTACCCGGGGGTTTTCCAACAGACTTAGGAAGCGGGCTCCGTGGAATCTCTCCAGATCGTACCGGTCCGCTCGGGTTTGCTCAGATGTTGTCTTGAGAGGGTGGAATTAGGACAGGGGACGAGGCTCTGGCCCGATGGGCGTGGTGCTGGCTGTGCCATTTCCAAGGAGGGCTGTCTAAACGGGCAGCAGGTGGACGGGCTGGGTGGCCCCGCCTCCTTCCACAGCCCAGCCTGGGGCCAGGAGGAGGCCTGCCGCTCGGGGTAACTTCTGTGCAATGGGTCACTGGCAGAGGAGAATGGCTGGGGGGGGAACTTGGCACGGCCACAGGGTCTGTTTACTGTGACCACTCAGTCCTCAGCCACCCCTGGAGCCTCCAGCCAAGGGGGAGGGAGGCACAGGGGGCGGAAACAGAACTTTCTCCTGCCAGGTGGGTTCCGAGGCAGCTGCCCTGTTCCTGCCTGGCGGCAAGGGGTCTCAGGGCCCCCTGGACTCGCCCTGCCCCCCCTCCAGCTACTGCCTCTCAAGAGGGGTACCCAGCGGGGGCCTGCATCTCCATGGTGACGGTGTTGGGTGTGCCACCCCCGGCCTCGCCCAGCTCCACCCCGTCTCGCAGGGCCCGCTGGAAGACCACCCTAAGCGGCTCCCACAGCCGCTGCGACCTGTCCCTCCCGGCCAGGAAGTAGACGACCGGCTTGGAGCTGCTGTTGATGCAAACACACAGGTCAGTGACGTACTCGGGGAAGGGCGCCGGGATCTGGAAGACCCAGGAGAGGAACCAGTCGATGCCCAGGTAGATGGAGGACACCAGGAACACAGCCACGACAGCCAGGATGACGTGGTTGAGCTTGGCGGAGCGCTGGCGCCGCCGTGCCCGGCACTCCACGTGCAGGACGAGGGCCAGGCAGGGAAGCACCATGAGCGGGCAGCAGACCAGGAAGACCAGGATGCCCAGGAAGATGTCCACGCGCACGCAGGCCTCCGAGGCCTCTTGGCCCAGGAACACGCAGAAGTAGTTGTGGATGCTGGTGACCAGGAGTGACAGGATCCAGAGCAGGGCGGCCACCACGGCTGACAGGCGCTTGGGCCGCCGGCGCCAGTACCAGGCGGGGAAGATGACGGACAGGCAGCGCTCCACGCTGATGGCCGGCAGGAGGCTCACCCCAGCGAGGAAGGCACAGAGCCCCAGGATCCTGCACACGGCACGGACGTAGTCGGCAAAGGCGCCCAGGAAGCCCCCCATGTTGAGGGTGGAGAGCACGGCCTTGCTGAGGAGGTAGCCCACGTCGGCGCCGGCCAGGTGCAGGAAGTAGATGGAGAAGGGGCTGCTTTTGATGGAGAAGCCGAAGAACCAGAGCACCAGCCCGTTGCCCACCAGGCCGCACAGGCAGAGAAGCAGGAAGATGTAGTTCATGATGGCTGGGGGCGGCAGCGGTGCAATCTGCTCGATGGTCAGGAAGCCTCGGCTGTAGAGCTCCGGGGCCTCACTCATGCCAGGACATACCTGTGCAGGTGCAGAGAGAGACACCTGGTGACGCTGGCTGGGCTTCACCCACAGACCCCCTCCTGGGTCCAGGCGTGAGGGTCCTGAGTGGAGACCTGGGCGTGGTGGGGCGGATTCTGTAGGGTCACTGGCTCTGGAGCAATTAACCGGCTCCAGCATGGGCGGTGAAAAGGGTTAAGCGCTCGACTACTAGCCAAAAGTTCGGCGGTTCGAACCCACCCAGACGCACTCTCAAGACAGGCCTGGCCATCTGCTTTCGAAAGGTCACAGCTTTGAAAACCCCATGCAGCAGATCTCTGCACACCGGAGTCGCCATGAGTCAGAATTGACTCGACGGCAGCTATCAACAAGAAGAAGAGCAGAAATGACCTCTGACTTCACATAATTCTAACTATCTGTGTCCCAGAGTCTAGAGCTGGCATAAATTCCAATGTCTGTAGGAGTGATAGGAAAATATCAATAAAGTACAAGGCACGGGCTGCCCACCAGTCAGGAGAGACGCTGGTCTTTATCTTTCCATGTCGTGAAAGATGAAAAAGTAAGCAATCTTTCTAGAATAAAGAAGATAAAAGAGACATATCAGACCAGGCTTGCTGGTCTGGCAGAGACTGGAGAAACCCTGAGAATACGGCCCTCGGACACCCTTTTAACTCAGTACTGAAGTCACTCCCGAGGTTCGTCCTTCAGCCTAAGATTTGACAGGTCTATAGGGCCAACAATGACACACGTGAGGGACGTCCTTATAGTTCAACATGTATACGAGGCTAATGGGCACACCAGCCCAAAAGCAAAGATGAGACTGTAGGAAGGGACAGAAAACTGGACAAATGGAAACAAGGTATCTGGGGTGGAGAAGCGGAGAGTGCTGACAGATTGCAGGGTTGGCAACCAATGTCACAAAACAATTTGTGTATTAACTGTTCAATGAGAAACGAATTTGCTCTGTAAACTTTCACCCAAATCACAATAAAAAAACAAAAACAAAAACAAGAGAGACATGTCAAAGAAACACAGTGCTTACTGTAACCCTAGATTATATACTGGATCGAAACATTGCTATTAAGGGTATTATTGGGATGATTTGGGAAACTTGTACACAGGGTCTGCAGGTTAACGGTCCTGCGTCACTGTTAGATTTTCGGAATGCGATAATTGTACTGGGGTTCTGTGCGGGAATGTCTTTGTTCTTAGAAGACACAGACTGTTTGGGGTAAAGGGGCCTGGTGCCTGCAACTTACTGTCAAGTAGTCAGAAAAAATACAGATACACCGACGGACGGAGAGAAAGCACGTGGGGCGAAAGGTCAACAATGAATGAATCAAGGTGAAGGGCATAGGGGTGTGTATTGTACTGTTCTTGCAAATTTTCTGTACACTTGCAATTCTTCAAACTAAACTGTGAAAAGATTTATTTAAAATAAAAAAAAATCGCGTGTTTATTAAAAAAAAAAAATGGAGTAAACCCTGGCTGTAGTTGGAGAGGGTTGCTGGAGGTCCCCAGCTGGGCCAGGGTTATCCTTTGAGCTTCTAGATTGTGGGAAAGTCCAGGGGTCCCTAGGGAGGGGGAGAAGCTTTAGGCAGCAGCTGTGCATCAAGCTGTATGGAGAATTTCAATGTTTTAACAATTAATTTGGCTGTAAGATGCATCCCAACTGAATACCAGCCTTGCCTGCGGGCCCTGGGCTGGCATATCAGTGTGTGAAGGTGGGCACTGGGGAGTGGTGGAGACTGTGGCTAAGTGCAGAGGTGCCTGTCCTGAGCAGGGAGGGAAGTCTGCTCGGCTGCAGCCGGCAGGCACCATGGGGGATTGGTGGGCCCGAGTGGCTGACTATCCTTTTCCCCTTTTCCCCAGAGAAGCCAGAACTCTAGATTGTAATGTGAAATACTTTGATTTTAAAAAATGTTGGCATCTTATTCAGATTTTAAAAAAAACACTGTTCCGGCCAAACACAACACATGTACGAGCTGGATTCAGTTCCCAGGCTATTGTTTCGACTTCGCGTTCCAAGTGGCAAAGGCTGCCCGAGCCCCGCCACTCCTGCTCCCATGCCCTGGCAGGCATCGCTAATCCATCCCAGCTCTCCTTCCCAGGGAGCCTGCACCCGGCCTCACCCTTCTGTCCCCATCCCCACTCCCTGTCTTAGGCTAGGTATCTGCTCCTCAACAAAACAGACAGGAAGGGCACTGAGGCAGGATCCCTTTGGCCACCTTCCAAATCGTCCCCAGCTCTGGTGAAAAGCTGGATTCCGACAATAACAAAGCGGTCGGGGTTGGGGGGTGGGGCTCTGGCCCAGCTTTGGTCAAGGGGAGTCTGCCAGCAGGGACTGAAGGGTGTTGGCAAAACTCTGGGGGGACTCCGTGAGGCCAGGGCAAGCTCTATAAGGGGGTTCTACTGGGGGCAATGGTGGTTCAGTGGTAGAATTCTCGCCTCCCATGTCGGAGACCCAGGTCCGAGTCCTGGCCGCTGCACCTCATGCACAGCCACCACCTGTCAGCGGAGGCTTGTGTCTTGCTGTGATGCTGAACAGGTTTCAGCGGGACTTCCAGACTAAGAGGGACTAGGAAGAATGGCCTGCCTAGCTACTTCTGAAAATCAGCCATTGAAAACCCCATGGATCACAACGGTTCCATCTGCAACTGATCGTGGGGATGGTGCAGGACTGCGGTGCACGGGGTCACCATGAGTCAGGAGCCCACTCGACGGCAGCTAACAGCAATATTGACTGTCCTTTAAATTGTTGTTGTGTGCTGTGAAGTCAATTCCGACTCACAGCGACCCTACAGGACGGAGTAGAACTGCCCCATAGGGTTTTCTAGGCTGTAATATTTAAGGGAGCAGATTGCCAGGTCTTTCTCCCAGCTGCTGGCTACCTTCGAACCACCAACTTTTCAGTTGGCTCCTCATCCTCTAAATACTTCGATTGAATCAACATCCACCTGCCTGTCAGTCGACCCCCAAACACAACTCCTAGCTCCCCCTTGCTTGTCTGGGCAGGACAACCAAACCCGGGAAGATCCTAAACCAGCCTGTGTTCTCCGTGTCCAGGGCGGCCGAGCCTGGACGCTGGGCGGGAACTGGGCTGCAGGCCTCTACCCCAATGAGGGCGGATCACTCGGTACCTCTAGCAGCTGGAAAACTTCTACAATCCCTCCCTGGAGTCTGAGCAGGAGGGCCGGCTGAGTCACTGGGCGTGGGGGTGCCTTCCCAGCCACATGCCGCCTCGCCTCTGTAAAGGGCCTGCTGGAGCCTGGCCCCTCCCTGAGCTCGGCCTGTTCTGGCGAACCCCTCCAGAAGCTCCGTATCTCTGCTCTCTGTGGCTGCCATTCCCCAGGTCACTAGGGGAGAGGGAACTCCCGGGCTGGGATCCAGAGCCCTGGGGGGCAGTCCCCGTCTGTCCTGCCCTTACCCCGGGCAAGATACTGGCTGGTGTGGCCTCAGTTTCCTCCAATGTGAAAGAGGGGAGACTAGATAAAGTCTAGGGCGCCTTCCAGCTCAAGAGTGTTTGCCCAGGATTCAGATAGGAATTGCTGGCGGAGGGGAGAAGGCTCAGGGAGGAAGGAGGCCAAGGCCGGGGAGGGCAGAAGGTGGTGGGTCAGCCTGGATGGGGCTTGTCAGAGTGTCAGCCAGGGCCAGGGCCCGGAGACGGGAGGTAAACCTGTGACTCAGGGACCCTGGGTCTTCTGCCCTCACAGGGAGCCCTGAGTGGGCAAAGCCTTGTGGAGTCCATGACATCAGGGTCCCTTTGGGGCCAGCATCCTAGGCCTCCTGGCAGAGCTTGGCTGGAGGGCAGAGCTGACCACCCAGCTGCTAAGAGACGGGATTAAAGGTTGGCCAAAGAGGCCTCCAAGGTTGGCACAGGAGGGGACTTGGAGGGTGTCTAGTCCCCTGTACTTGCTTCATTGTTGAGGATACTGAGGACAGAGGGACCCGGTGACAGTGCATGGCCACACAGCCCAGCAGGGGCCCTGCAACCTGCCGGCTGCCCAGAGCCAGAGGACGGGCCCGGGGGCAGGGGGATGCTGGGCGGGGCCCCCACACCTGTCCAGGTAGACCTGGGCCACGGAGCCATCTGGTGCCACTTGCCTTGTTCCTGCCAGTGGAGTATGGCTCCCAGGAGCAGTTCCCTGCCATCGCCAGGCCTGGGGGGTCCAGCTGCTTCACCGATCCACTCAGCTCACCGCCTGCACACCCCGCCTGGCAAAGGCCAGAGAAAAAGTCACATCAGGGCAGAACTGTCCCCCCAGAGCGGTTTTCCGCCCCCTCCCTGGAAGCCCCTCTACTTCCAGATCCTGCCCCCGGGCCCTTGTGGCTTTGTGGGCCTGTGGTGGCAGTTCCTCTCCTGCACTCGGGCTGGGGCCCTCTTGGTTCTCCCCCTAGCGCGATGCTGATAAGCTGTCACATGGGATGAGGGTCCGAGCAGGCCACGTCTGTGCCCACTGCTCTCTCCTACCTGTGGGTCTCCTCGTTCAGACCCTGGCTCCCACCTGGACCCCAAACATGGATCATACTTGGTCTGGCGATTTACAGAGAGCCGGATGGCTTCTGGAGATACACGTTTACCCCCCCTAACATTCGCTGAGCGCCTCCTTCGTGCCCTGGGATGGGCTCTTGGTCCCAGGAGGGTGGGCTGGGGAGAGCGGCCACTCCTGGCAGGGGAGGCTTCCTGGGGGAGAAAGCCTGTGAGCATCTGGTCCTTCCCCTGCAAGCGTCGAAGGCAAGACAGCCGGTCATCAGCACCATCTCCGCATCCTGGCGCCACCAGCAACCCCCACCTTCAGTGAGTGCCGGCTGGCCCGGTGCCAGCCAACCGCGCCCATCTTCCCATTTGGTCCTCATTATCATCATTTCCCTTTGGTGGGGACACCAGGCTTGGGGAGGCAAGGCTCTGCACGTGTGATAACCAGGGACACATGGTCGCTTTGCACAGGATGGGATCTGAACGTGACAAAGATTAGAGCCTCGAGGGCATTGGTGGTTCCGTGGTAGAATTCTTGCCTTCCACTTGGGAGACCCGGGTTTGATTCCCGGCCAAGGCAGCTCACGCGCAGCCACCACTCATCTGTCCCTGGAGACTTGTGTGTTGCTGTGATGCTGAAAAGGAGCCCTGGTGGTCCAGGGGTTAAAGCCCTAAGCTGCTGACCAAAAAGATCGGTGGTTTGAAACCACCAGCCACTCCTGGGGAGAAAGATGTGGCAGTCTGCTTCCACAAAGAATAAAGCCTTGGAAGCCCTACGGAGCAATTCCGGCTACGGGTCAGAATGTACTCCACCACAGTGCTTTTAAAAATTTTTTTTAAATGATGCTGAACAGGTTTCAACGGAGCTTCTAGACTAAGATGGACTAGGAAGAAAGGCCTGGCAATCATCGACTTCCGAAAATCAGTCAATGAAAACCCGATGGATCGCAAATGTCTGATACGCAGCTGATCCTGGGCAGGGCGCAGGACCAGGCGGCGTTGCGTGCCGTGTGCACGGGGTGGCCATCAGCGAGGGCCAGCTTGAGAGCGGCTCACAGTGCGGAAGGGCTGGCGGGAGCAGCGGGCGGCCGCAGGGGTGACCCCTGGACCCCAGCTGACAGCTGCGGAGGAGGAGGCCTGAGAAGGGGCGTCGCTATAGGGGGCCCCCTCACACTAACTTCTGCCCCCCAACCTGAGCCCTGGCCCCGCAGGTGGGGAAACTGAGGCTGTGAGCAGAGAAGAGCCCTGCCGTATGGCTCCCCGCCCCTCCTCCACTGCAGGGAGCGTTGTCCGGGCGGCCGGGCGCT